TGGAAGGAGGAAGCCACTTCCCTAGTCAAACATCTGTTAAACAATTATACTTTTATTCTACCAAGGATTGTGGAGTTATTTCAAAGTTGTCATTTGCTTTTGGAAAAACAGAAAAAGCCATCCTCTCTTCCCCCTTTTTGTGTTGCTTTTCTAAAGGCCCTCTTCTGTCATTTTGGTTGCATTTGTGCCAAGAAGGAGGGTGGATATGTACCTTGTCCCAGTCAGGGAGTGAGAAGGGATCCTTTTCACACTTTACCCATTGTAGTACAGTAAGCTCTCTCAAATGGGAGTACCCATTTTCCACCCAGGTGTAGAGAGAGACTAGGCTGTACCACTGCATCTTACATACCAAGAATTGGGTAGATATGTACAAAGCATCTTCCCTGAGAATACTCATATATCAGGGGACATCCTCTGGCCCTTATGGGCTGCTTCAAAATCATCTCATCCAACCATCCACCATTTTCCACACTCTTACATAATATTGATTTATTCATTTCATACGGAATTACTAGATCACCATACAGCATCTTAAGCCTCCCAAATCAAGTCTACTTAATGGGATTTGCGTATTTAGTGGTACCTACAAGGGAATGTCTCAGGAGCATTACACACTGTAATATTCAGTCACTCACCCCTACTAAAGCTACCACAAAGAAATGCAGTCATCTAAGTAAAAAACAGTGTACCCTCTATGCAAGCACAAACTCAGGATAAGTTTCCTACTGTCATCTAACCAGATTACCAGCCCTAAACCAGGCCTATTGAAAATGCTGGGGCTGCTATATCACTTCCCCATAGAGAGGTGGTAGATTTTCCATCTCTATTCAGAGTCAAGAGTCACTAGGTTCCCATTTTAGAGGTCAACAGTCTACTCCTTGTTCTGCTCATTCCCACCCACATATGGCATCTGGGACCTGAGGTAAGATAGAACCCTCTAGACCTGCTCCCCTACAGGTAGATCAGTGTTACTAGGCAACAGTTTAACATTCTTGGTCTATACTTCTTAAACTGGGAGATGCTAACTAATCTACTTCAAGGCATTCCTTCTAGTAGCCAGTTAGTTTATGACAGTGTTTGTTGCCTCTGGACAGGGAAAATGGAGATATTTTCAATCCACAATAGGCAGGTAAATTTATAGAAAGGCACAATTATGTAAGCCCTACAGTTCTAGCTGTTTCCTTCTGTTCTACCTTTAAGCTCCCTAAAGAGGAATTTTTTTAAGTTGGAAAAAAAATACAAAATGCTGCATTATGATGTATTTGCTTTGATGATGTGCTAACTCGAAATATACTTACTAATTTAATATGGTATGTTTTTCAGGATATGCATTTTATACTCAATCACCCTTTTCTTTCCCCTCAGCCAACAACCACTCCAAACTTTTATCAAATACTAGAGAAAATTTAAAATAGTGTGACTTTTAGGAAACAAAGTGTATTACTTGTAGGCCTATAAGAGAGTGACAAATATCTTCCCAACTGGAATAATTTTGAAAATAAAATGGAGTGTTTTTTATAATTACCCTGGGACAAGTGTGAGTTAGACTACCCTGGAATACCCAGATGGCAACTCTGGGAAGAGGAAAAGCCAAGGTAATGGGTCTTCATGCTTTCTGATTAGCAAATGAAGCCAAACCACTTACATACAGGATTTTATATAGTTGAGCTTCATCATTCCCTGATTCCAAATTTGTGAATTCATTTGCCAACTAAAACTTACTTGTAATCCCTAGATCAGTACTTGCAGCATTTGTCAGTAAATTTACAGGCATGTGCAGAGTGGTGAAAAATTTGAGGAGCCCAATATGCAAGTTTCTAGCTAAGAAATTTGTTTCAGCTCTCAATCTATAAACAAGCATCCTTTTGGAGATCTATTTAGTGTAACATTCTTTCCCATTTTGTACTTTTTGTTGGTGATTTCACTGTTTAAAATGGCTCCCAAGGATAGTCCTGAAGCACTGTCTAGTGTTCCTGAGCACAAGAAGCCCGCAATGTACATTACAAAGAAATTCCATGTGTTGGTGAGCTTTGTTCAGGCATAAGTTATGATGTTATTGGCCCTGAGTTCAGTCCACAATATAGATTAAGTAAGGTGTCTTTGAATAGAAACACACATAAGATTATGTATTAATCTGTTGATAAAAATGTAAGCAGAAAAAAAACAAATGAAACATTAAAATAATTAACGGAGAGTACCCAGGTAGCTCAATTGGTTGAGGGTCCAACTCTTGGTTTCAGCTCAGGTCATGATCCCGGGGTCATGGGATTGAGCCCCATATCAGGCTCTACACTAAGCGTGTAGCCTGCTAGAGATTCTCTCTCTCTCTCTCTCTCTCTCTCTCTCTCTTCCTCCTCCTCGTCCTCCTCCTCCTCTCCCCCCACTTCTGCTCTCTCTAAAATAAAAGAAAAAGAAAAATATTTTTAAAAAATAAAATAAAATAATTAATGAATTAGACTTAATCAAAATTAAAATTTTCTGTTCTCAAAAGACATTGGTAAGAAGATGAAAAGGTAAGTGACAGACTAGGACAAAACATTTGTACAATATATATGATAAAGGACTGGTTTCCAAACCATATAAAGAACTCTCAGAACTCATTAATAAGAAAACCAACAAACTAATGAAATGGATAAAAGATGTGAATGGACTGTTCACCAAAAAAAAAAAAAAAAAAAAAGGCACCACCACCAGCCACCATTAAGAAAAAAAAATCCTCATTTGCACTGAGCTCTCCATCAATCTCATCTTCACTCTCCAAATTCCTGAAAGATTAGCCAATATCCTCTTCTTTATTTTTTATTCTAACTCATTTTAATCCCCTTTCTGCCTCCATTTCTTCTCTAAAACTCTTCTCAGGGAAGACTGACTCTTGTCAAATCCAACAATTCCTTTTAGTTCTTATCATATTTAATCTCAGACCATTGGACACTGGCCACAAATTCCTTGTATCTCTTCTTCTTGTCCTTTGGTAGTGGTTTCTTGGTCTGTCCACCTTCTCCCTTCCCTTATGATTCTGGATATGCTCTCTAAGTTTTCTTATTTTAATCTTAGTTTTAATACTATTGACATGCTGAAATCTTCCAAATTTAGATCTTCAGCTCAAACTTCTCTCCCAAGTTTACCAGTGTCTACGACGGCCTTCTAGACAATTTTCTCTGAATGTGTTGTAAGCTCCTCCAAATCAACATGCTCATCACTTCCCCATCCCTCCTCCTTATGTGTGCTCAGTTAATGCCCTTATCTACTGGGTCAGCAAAAATCACCACCAGAGTCATTCTTCATGCTCCTGATTTCTTAGCCCCCAACATGTGTTGTTCACTGCACAACTTTAGGGGTCGCCATTTTGTCCAATCTGCCTCCACATAGCTCCCAATTCTGTTTCTTCCTCTGAGTTCTTGCTGCTATTGCTTTGCTTTGTGCCCTCGCCAGCTTTTGATTTTCAGTAACTTAACTGGACTCTTTATCTTCATTCAATTCTCCACACAGTAGAATTATCTTTAAAAAGATTTTTTAATGTTTATTAATTTTTTGAGAGACAGAGCATGAGAGGGAGAGGGGCAGAGAAAAAGGGAGTCACAGAATCCGAAGCAGGCTCCAGGCTCTGAGCTGTCAGCAGAGAGCTTGCCCAGGCTCAAGCTCACAAACCACAAGATCATGACTGGAGCCAAAGTCAGACGCTTAACCAACTGAGCCACCCAGCTGTCCCTAGAATTATCTTTTTAAAACCCAATCTGATTATATTATTTCTCTGATTACCAATATTTTCTATCTCTGACTGACTTCAAGACAAAGGTTAAACCACTTAGCAGGAAATACAAAGCCAAGTAATCACATTCTGCCATTGACCTTAATTTGTAGCTCAAATCCTATTCTCTTCAACTAGCTAGTCCCAAAATATCTCTATTACTTGCATATTCTGTTCTTTTATATAGAATGTTTTCCCACACCATCTCCTTCACAGCTTGGCAAATTGTTCCTAATCATTAAAATCCAGTTAGCTGTCCTTTCTTTTGTGTGGTCTTCAAAGATATTACTTCCTTCCAGTAGTTCTCAACCCTGACTACTCATTATAATCATTGATCACTTGGGGGAAGTGGGTTAAAAATATTGATGCCCAGCCTTCACCCACAGACATTCTAATCTTCATTGTCTAGAATAAATCTGAGCATAGAAATGTCTTAAATGTTTCCCCAGAGCATTCTAATATGCTAGATACCAAAGATATAAAAATTTAAGAAGTAGGATGGAGTTTCAGGCTTCAAGAGGTTCACTGAAACAAGTAACTTAACTGTCATTTACAATAAAAAGGAATACACAGAGTGAAAAGATTTTCAAGTAGAAGCAACAAAGGACGTGGGAGGAAAAAGCATGCCATGAAAAGTCCCTGGTGATGCCTATTATAAATATACCAAATATTTGGTAATTTTTTAAATGCCTGTAGAATCCTGTTGAGACATTAAGGATAGTTCAAAACAACTGATCTACCATGTAACCACTTTAAACAATACAACAAAAGAGCTGGTCAGTAGTTAGTCACCATTATATCTTTAATACCCAGAACAATGGCTGACATATTAGATACTCAAAAATGTTAAATAAATGAATAGTCAATAGTAGCATTTAGACTTTCTTAAGAAACTGGTTTATAATAAAGATCAATGTTAATTGCAAATTAAAGCTAAGCGTATTTTTGGTGTCAAAGATTCTGACAGATAGAACCTGTATAAGGGGTTCTACTTCTTGGATGAGACAGATCATTTTAAATTAAGCTGAGAATAAAAAGTACTGACAAAGCAGTTCACTTTCAGTAATCTGGGTTTTCCCAAATACTGACACTAGAGCCAGTCATTTTGAATTCGACAGTTTTAGTTCAAGAATCTGAAATGTAGGTCAGGGCTTTGCTAACATTTCCATTTGCCTCATTGCTGAAAATCTGAAGTGATTATTGACAGCCAGGCAGTGGGGGAAGAGGACATGACACAGGCAACGAGGTAGCAGCAGCCTGACTCTGAAGTGGAATTATGTGCTTCAGACAAGTTGAAAGGTAAAGAGACCATGATCATCCAATACTTAAAAACAGCTATATTGTCTTAGGGAAATACATGGAACAGGTTGCTTTTTAAAAAATTTTTAATGTTTATTTATTTTTGGGAGAGAGAGAGGGAGGGCACAAGTTGGGGAGGGGCAGAGAGAAAGGGAGATACAGAATCCAAAGCAGGCTCCAGGCTCCTAGCTATCTGCCCAGAGACCTATGTGGGGGCTCCATCCCACGAACTGAGAGAACATGACTTGAGTCAAAGTCAGACCCTACCCAACTGAGCCATTTAGGTGAACTCTTTCTTTCTTTTTTAATGTATATTTATTTTTTGAGAGAAAGAAAGCACACATGAGAGCACGAGTGGGGGAGAGGCAGAATGAGAGGGAGAAAGAGAATCCAAAGCAGGATCCTTGTTGTCAGCAAAGAACCAACTTAGGTCTCAATCTTAGATCATTACTTGAGCTGAAAGCAAGAGTCAGAAGCTTAACCAACTAAGCCACCCAGACTCTCCAGTTGTTTTTTCTTATAAGTTCTTGTGATACTTCATAGAGTGGTTACTGATGAGTTTATTCTAAAATATTGTCTGATACTACATCACTTTAAACAATTACTATTGTATATGCTCTATTGGGTGAGTAGTTAACTTCTAACCAGGAACATTTTAGATCTTGTTTTGCTTATTATTTATAAAAAGAAGACCTAATATTGCTAGCAAATTATGAAAGGGGTTTCTATACTCATGGGGGTCATAGGGACCCCAGGTTTTAAAAATGTTATATTTTCTGCTATATGATTAGTCATGATTTTGTTTTGCTGTCTTATATGAAAGGTTCAGGTTTTATTAAACATAAAAATAACTGAATAATGTTGGTTATTAAATAATAACGTAAAGTGACATTTAAATAAAAATGTAAGTAACTGATAAATTAAATAATGTAACTAGTTGTAAACTAATGGTAATATTGTTTGGAATTTGTATAATGTGTTTCTTTTGAGCTGTCTACAGAGGAAAGGAGTTTTATATAAATTTAATTGGTGATAGCACATATGCCTTTGTCTCACTTCATCTTTCTTCATTTTGAATACTTTTTTTCTGGAAGTTCTCCACTTTTTGGCTTTTCCTAAGTTTAACTCATCAAAGACTGCTATTTCTGGAGCTGCTTAGGCACAGAAATCTGGTCAGGAGAATTTACTATCAGGAGTGAGAGTAGAGATTTCTGATGAGAGAGACTAGATTAGAAGAAAGTGTATTTTATTAAGGGTCAAAATGTCCTACTAAGGTAAGTCATAGTGACTTTTGAAGGGTATAAAAGACCCTTTTCCATCTGTATCATACCTCCTCACACACCACTGGCTTTTCTTTGCCCTGTTTCCCTCCTCCCTTTCTTTCTCCCTTCCCTTCTTTTCTTCCTTCCTTCCCTCCTTCTTTCTTTTCTTCCTATTGAAACCTTCTCATCAAAGGCAATAGTAACTGTAAGGAAAAATGTAATGCTTCTATTATTGTTATTTTATTAAAATATTACAATTTAAAACTTTTTCATATTTTTTTCTAGAGGGCAACAAAGAGCTATTTCTTGCTTTCAGGAATGAATCAGGTCACAATTCAATGGGATGTGGTAATAGCTATTTACATATTCTTCAACTGGTGTCATGGAGGTATAGTATTTTTAGTACCTACTGCTATCTTTTATTCAAAAAAATGTTGAGTGTTTATTATTCTCAAGGCATTATTCTAGGGTCTCTGAAGAATCAAAAATTATTAGACTGGGAAAACTTTTATGCACATAAAAATTATATGGAATGAAATGAAAGAGTCCAACCTCCCACCTAATGTCAGGATTCCTTTCCCTTAGTAAACAAACCTCTAACTCATATATGAACATTTCCATGAAGAAGCATATTATTCTGAGTTGGCATGTTCTATCTTTGAACTGTTATAACTGTTATATGATAATCCATCAAACATTTGAATTTAATTCAACTCCACAATCCATTTGTTGACAGGTACTATATGTCAGGCACTGTGCTAACTAAGCCTTTTATTTCTCACAACTTTGTGCAATAGTATTGGCTATTATTATTCCCATCTTATAATTCACACAAACATCTGCCACTATTACAGATACAAGCATAAGCAGCTATGAGGAATCCAGGAAGGGGATTGTCAGAAATTCAGGCAGGATAGTGTTGACATCTGAGAGTTTCTACTGGGGACTTGGTGTCCTAGGCAGGTGGCAGAAATTCATTTGCTGGGAGACAAGCAACACTAAGGTAGGGTAAGGAAGCTTTGCAAATCATGCAAATGACTCAGAATAGTGACAAAAGCAACATTGTCTCCTGTAGGCTGGAACACAATTATATTGGTGATATAGAGGGTAGCCCTATCATCAGAACTAGAATCCCTCCAGCAGGATATCAGACATTGCCAAAAGCTGGCCAACTGTTACCCAAGATTTAAGAGATTGAAATATGCAAATGATAAGTAGGACTTCTGTTGATACATTCAAGTAATTAATACAGAGTATAGAGAAATAAGTCAAGCTCCTCTGACATGGTATTAGAGACCCTAGAGCTGTCCATTAGATACTATTTTATATATTATTGTTCAATCTATGAATAGTTTTAATATCATCTAGACTACATTTTTTCCAAATTTTCTATTAGCATGTTATGTTCCCTTTTTTCAACAGCTCTGCTGAAATAATAATTTTTTTAAAAAGTTTAACATTCCTCTGACCCATCTACTAACCCCATTAAAAAGAGACATTAATCTATAATTTATTCTTACATAATCTATGTTGACTCCCACTGATTACTGATTTTTTTTTTTTGGTACTGAAAAACCATGGACTTACTAATTCATTCCTAAATGTAGTAAAGCTTGTTGGTCCGAACTTTCTGGGGTCCTTCTTTATTCTGTTTTTGAAAACAAGCATTTATCCAAATAGTCTTCCATCATTTTTGATATTTTCTGTGTATTCTCAAACACTACTTATAGTAATTCCATGGTAGTATTCAGATATTTTTTTAAGGTGCTGGAGATGCAGTTTGTCTAAACCCGAATTGTTGACCTTATTTAAAGTAGTCATATGTTTTCTTAAAACTTCCTTTCCATGTCTTTGGCTTCAATTTCCCATTAATAATGATGGAATCATTTTTATCACTATTTTAACATTTAAATATTTATAATTTATACCTAATGTTCATTATGTAAATGAAAATATTCAATTACATTTATATTATGTAAGTTATCTTTTAAAAAAAATGTTTTTAATGTTTTATTTATTCTGAGAGAGAGACAGACAGCATGAGCAGGGGAGGGTCAGAGAAAGAGGGAAACACAGAATCTGAAGCAGGCTCCAGGCTCTGAGCTAGCTGTCAGCACAGAGACCAAAGCGGGGCTCGAACCCACGAACCATGAGATCATGACCTGAGCCGAAGTCGGAAGCTTAACCGACTGAGCCATCCAGGCGCCCCTATGCAAGTTAATTCTTTAAGCATTGTAGTCTATAGATAAGAACACTTTAAAATAAAATAGTTACCTTTATCACTATTTTGATGAGATTCTAAGATATTTAATGCAAGTATTTCCACAAAAAGACAATAATAAATTTTCCTTAATGTGAGTTTGATTTAACTGATACTGCATTGCACTGTCATTTGAGTTTATGGAAATGACTTTTAATTATTGCTTGGGGGTATAAAAGTAATACATTCACTATATAATTTTCAAAGCACAGAAATATGCGAGTAAAATGAAAAAAATTAGACTAACAAAGATTATCATTGATAACATCTTAGTGTATTTCTCCTCATGCATTCATCTATTTATTTCTGATATTAAGCCCATATTAAATGTGTTGTTTTGCAACTTACTTTTTAACAAAACATATCCTGGAACTTTTCCTATATTATTAAATTAATGATGACTTTTAAGTGGTTATCAAGCAATAGATTTTTGGCATTAGTAAGAGTATAGTTTTATTCATTAAGCTCAATTTTCTGATAAAAATAGCTGTTATCTATAGAAGAATGAAAGATCAATGGAGTGCCTAGAGAATGGAGTTTGGATTCTGCAAGGCCAGGTGTTATTTCTAAGCTTACCTTTCAAAAATGCCATAGCCTCATAATGCCTCAGTGCTCTATTTTTAAAAAGGAGAGCTAATTATATTTGCTCTTTAGACAAAGTAGCTTTAAAGGCAGACTCTAGTTTTGTTACTAGACTCTAGCTCATGTTACTGAGCATCCACAGAAGCCTGCTAAAAGTACATTATAAAAAACTAACAGATGCAAAGATACAGTTAGTCCTAAACGTTTTTCCAATGGAAATCATTTAATTAATAGAAAAGGAATAAAATTTAAATGCAACAACATAGTCACCTGAATCTCTTGTTTCAATGTTTACATGGAATTTTTTATTTTATCTATTCATTTCCAGGAATTACAAATATAAACTGTTCTGGCCACATGTGGGTAGAACCAGCCACAGTTTTCAAGATGGGTATGAATATCTCTATTTATTGCCAAGCAGCAATTAAGAACTGCCAACCAAGGAAAATTTATTTTTATAAAAATGGCATTAAAGAAAGATTTCAAATCTCAAGAATTAATAAAACAACAGCTCGGCTTTGGTATAACAACTTTCTGGAGCCACATGCCTCTATGTACTGCACTGCTGAATGTCCTGGATATTTTCAAGAGACACTGATATGTGGAAAAGACATTTCTTCTGGATGTAAGTGTCGGGGTGCATTCAAAATTCAAATGAAAGCTAATCTAGCAATTAACTGGTCTGAAATATTGTCTAAAATAGAGACTAATTAATATAGTTTATTTCTTGTACTAGTTTAATATAGGAATTGCAAACTGAAAGGCTTCCAGGGGCCAGGTTAGTGAAATATAGGACTTAAGGAGGCTGGTGAGATCTGTGCAGAGAGAAAAGCACATAGAGGCCTATTGGGGAATAGCCACTGCCCAGCTCCATCATTATAAGAATCCAATGTTCCTAAGCCTTTTGACTGTTTTTCTTTTTAATGTTTTTTTTTAAATTTTTTTTAATGTTTTATTTATTTCTAGGAGAGAGAGAGAGACAGCATGAGCAGGGGAGGGTCAGAGAGAGAGGGAGTCACAGACTGAAACAGGCTCCAGACTCTGAGCTGGCAGTCAGCACAGAGCCCTACGCGGGGCTAGAACCCACGAACCGCAAGATCATGACCTAAGCGAAAGTCGGACGCTTAATCGACTAAGCAACCCAGGCGCCCCAATGTTTATTTATTTTTAAGAGAGAGAAAGACAGAGCATGAGCAAGGAAGGGGCAGAGAGAGAGGGAGACAAAGAACTCGAGGCAGGCTCCAGGCCCTAAACTGTCAGCACAGAGCCTGACACGGGGTTCAAAATCATGAGCAGTGAGATCATAACCTCAGCTGAAATTGGACCCTTAACTGACTGAGCAACCCAGGTTCTCCTGAATATTTGACTCTTTAAGGAAAGACAGACATGTGAATCTTCAATGTGAACTCTATACATTTTTCAATGTTGCTGATGCATTCAAAAAACAAATTTTTAACATCAGCCTGTCCAAACACACATATATGAGGGGCAGCATTCTCAGATTTTTCTTTTGCTCTTTTCATCTGCTTTACACTTATGTTTTTGTTTATTTGCTTTCCAAAATAATAGCAACAACCTTGAAGCAGATTCCATTAAAAAAATTTGAGGCTAAGATTTACAGAGCAAAAACAACTGCAAAACTAGCTTTGTGTTCCTGCTATACTTTCCAGCTGTGTGACCTTGGGAAAGTTAACCAGTCTGAGCCTTGATTCCATGTCTGTAAAATGAGGCCAATTATACTGGCTGCGATAAGCACCAAATTTTAATAAACTATTTAAAAGCATATTACACATTTTAAAGTGCAACACCATTGTGCCCAAACCCTTAAAAATGCATCCTTTTGATAAAATATAAGAGTATTCTGATACAATTCCCACTCCCCTAATCCCACTGCCCTAATTGTGAATCATTGTTATTATAATTAAGAAAAAAAGTTAATTGCATTGATCTTAAAAAATCTTTGTTACATTCAATTTTTTATAGTATTCTGAGGATGTGTGAGTAAATATAGTAATATGAGCTAATTTGTATAATTATATACTTAATTCTTGGTTCTACTATTATGAGAAATAGATCAATAAATTCAGCACTGTTTTAACCTAGAGATTCATTCCCTAGAGCATCTGGACCCAATTTAAGTGAAAGAGAGCTTTGGGGTCTTTGTCATGCTCTCTTCCCCATACTTTTAAGAATCAAATGTGAGTTCTTAGTCTTTCTCCTCTCCAGACTTTAACTAGCAAGAGCAAGACGACCTGGTATTCGTGACTTGGCCCCTAGAGTGTATAGCGGAGAAGCAAGAGCTTCCTTGTTCTAAATAAGGCCATTGTCCTACTTAACTCTGGACACTTGATCTTGTGCAATTTTCAAAAGAAAGAAGAGCTATCTATAGGAGGTAGTAGAGGTGAATTGAGGAAGGAAAGTAGTAAGCTTTGGGGTCAAACAATAAAGTTAGTAAATTCACACCTTATATTGACAACATGCTAAACTTGCCCTAAATTATGGGAATTGAAGCCACAGGCAGACATCTTATCTGATATATGAGGGCACCTTAGCTTGTCCACATCCTCAGGAAACATAAGCAACACTTAATGCTTGAATATTTTACTATTTATCCTTTGGGGGGGCATTGAGAGAAGATACAATTTCTTTAGGGGACAAATAAGCACCTTCCACAGTTATGGGGAAAGGTTAGCTTTTAATTGATGCCAGAGGAAGAAAAGAGGCAAAAGAAGTGTGGCTTCCTGCCTTGGTTTCCAGTGTGGGTGACATATTACCCCCACACCTCTGCCAGTGTTGCTAAGGGCCTCTACCCCCAAACACAACCACCAAGCCATGTTTAGGATCAGGGAATGGCCTGTGCTCCCCTTCTAGGACATCACAGAAGAATTTAGATTCTCTGCTGCTGGCGGCTTAAAAAGAACATCACTCTTTCCATTTACTTGTTGGTTGTAACTTCTTACACAGGCCTCTGGTTATGAGTATGAAATTGTAACTGCCAGGTAAGAATTTACTCTCTTAGACCCAAGAATCCCTGGGTTCTTGAGCTTTGCATTCTTAGCAAACAAAACTTCCTATTTAAGTAGGTCAAAAAAAAGTTTTTGAGGGTTTTTGTGGTACTCTAGAAGTCACATTGCTTTCACTGGGTTGCTTTGATCACAGGATATTTGTCCTGTGAGCTTTACTATGTTAAGTTACCATCACTGTTTTCAACAAAATGCTTATGTGTATTTTTTTAGACTAGAAACAAATCATAAAAGAGAGAGAAAATAAATGAGTCAGTGCTTTCCCTGAAAAGAAATACAAATATATTTAAAAGCTCTGTACTGTAATGTGTAATTTGTGAAATATACATATTATCACAATTTCTATTTTTAGCCATAATTTTAAACACTTCCTAGAATTCATCTGTGATTGAATGCACATATATTATGGGAAGTTGGTTTTATCAGATTCACACCAATCATAAGATAAATACCATAAGACGTCTTCATTCATTTAAAAATAACACATTAAAAAACATACATGGAACACTCTGTTTCCACTTAAACATTTACTTAAAAGTTTAAATATCTTTGACTTCCTTCAATTTTAACCATCTTTTTTTTTAAGTTTATTTATTGAGAGAGAGAACAAGCAAGGAAGGGGTAGATAGAGAGAAGAGAGAGAGGGATAGAGAGAATCCCAAGCAAGCACCGTGCTGTCAGCACAGAGTCCTGTCAAGGTGGAGCCCAACTCGGGGTTTGATCTCACAAACCATGAGGTCTGAGCTGAGCCAAAATCAAGAGCACCCCAAATTTTAACCATCTTTGATTTCTACTTATTGGCACGAAAGCAGACTTTTTACCCAAAAGTCCCTGAATATTTTGCCTTTAACGTTACTATCTAGAATCATTACTATTGGCACAATTAGGCTGGCCTGTGTTCTCCTTGGATAAGGAATTACAGAGTGATCTCTGCCAGAAGCATTGTGCCTCTGTTCATTTTAAATTCTCCTTATTGTCATTTTATTAATCAAGCCAATCAAATTATGAGATAGCTTTACTGAGAGGTTGCTATGGGCCAAAAATATGTTAAATGCTAGAAATTCAAAGAAAAGGGACTCTGCCTTTAAGAAACTCTCAGTAGAAAATGATCCTTGGCTAGACTCTGAATTCACAAGAAATATTGCCAGTGATTAATAAGTGCTCCAATAATAGGGATGGATGTGATTGCTAGAAAAAGGCAAAAACATAAGCCTCATCCTTGTGTATTTCAGGGTATTCTCTGATACCTGGCTGTCTAGCAGTTTTTTACCTTCGACATTGTATAAACTGGCAATAAGATTAACAAAAATTCCTTCTTTCTCTCATAACCATAATCATATTCCCATCTTTACACAGCTTCCCATTAACAAATATTCTGTTTATTTGCAGATGTGTATATAATCTATCTGATCTTTTGCAAAGTTAATTAACCACCAGACATTTAAAAACCTGAGCACTCACTTCATATAGAATGCTGTGGAATAACAACCCAAAAGATTGACCATTGTTTTTTTATGATAGCCAAATCAGTGATACTCTGGCTCATGTCTCAGGGGGAAAAAATAAGTTCAGCACAAATGACTATAATTGTTGAGGGACCACAACTCAATCCATATCCAAGATGACTTAAATTTACCTCCTATATGACTCAAATGAAAAAATTTATTTTCCCCTACTTGGAGTCCAGTTTGTCTGTTTTGTAATTCAATGCTACAACTCACCAAAACATTCTAAAGTACTTTAGTATGTTCTTACTGCTTAAAATAGTTTTTTAATTGTAAAATCAAATTGCATACAATGTAGAAAGTTTTTAAAAATTTAGACCAGCAAAAAGGAAATACCCATCATCTCTATAATCCCATAATTTCACTACTAGCAACCCCTCTTTAATGATTTAAAATATATCTTTAAAGCTTCAGTCTCTTTGTCTCTCCCCATCTCTTCCCCTCTCTCCTCCTCTGTCTCCTTTTCCCCATCCCTCCCTCTCTGTCTCAGCCTCTCTGTCTCTCTCAATATGGTGTTTTGCAACCTGCATTTTTCACTTCATCATACAGTCAGAATTTACTTAGACACATTTCTAGTGCTTTCCAGAGGCCAGATACCTAAACTATCTTCTACAACTTAGTTTTTGGATGTATCTTAGGAGTCTATTATAGTTTATTTAACCCTATTTGGGGGTACTAGGTTATTTCCAACTTATTCATAATTATAAACACCATTTTAAGAAGCACACATTCTTAGCCAAATACTTTTGTATATCTTTGAACATTTCATTAAAGATGCATTCCTAGAGGCGCCTGGATGGCTCAGTCGGTTAAGTATCCGACTTCGGTTAAGGTCATGATCTCATCTCTCGTGGTCTCGAGCCCCGCATCAGGCTCTGTGCAGACAGCTTGGAGCCTGGAGCCTGCTTCAGATTCTGTGTCTCCTTCTCTCTCTGCCCTTCCCCCAATCATGCTCTGTCTGTCTCTCATTCAAAAATAAACAAACATTTTAAAAAATGCATAGACATTCAATTTTTTTAAAAAAAGATGCATTCCTAGATGTAAAATTGCTGGGGTGCAAAATATTACTATTGCTTTTAAAGGCAGTGATATGTAAAGTGCTCTCCATAAAGGTTGTACCAGTTTGCATTCCCACCAACAGGTATGTTAGAGGATTTCCCAGAAGTCCGTTCCAACACTGTAGATTAGCATGTTTTCAAAACCCTTGCCAATTTTATAGGTCTAAATGATATCTATTATTGTTCCAATTTGCAACAAGGACAACTTTTTCATATATTTATTTTTTGATTTTACAAGCAATATTCTTGGTAGATGACTTGTATTTAAGATAAATCTCTGGCTATAACTTCAGGTGCATAGATGTCCATATTTTTATTCTTCCTCAGCCCTTATTCTTCATTTTTCTTGTCATTTGCTGAGTAGTCAAGTTGCCCAGGCAGTATTGTGAGTGTGGGGACAAGCTGAGAGAGCCACACCTGAAAAGTGACTAAACACTCCATATATCTATACATCTTTTTTTGTTCCTCTTCTGGAATTCCTATGATATGGATATTGTTCCATTTGACTGTATCACTCGGCTCTCAAACTCTCCTTTAGTGTTCCTGGATCAGTTTATCTCTCTTTTTCTTGGCTTCCTCTTTTTCTATAATTGTGTCTCTAATTCACCTATTCTTCTCTCTGCCTCTTCAATCCGTTCAATGGATGCCTCCATTTTATTATGCACCTCATTTATAGCATTGTTTAATTCATCACAACTATTTTTAAGCTCCATAGTCTTTGTAGCAATGGTTTCTCTGATGTCTTCCATGCCTTTTTCAAGCCCAGTGATTAATTTTGTGACTATTGTTCTAAATTCTTGGTCAGTTATGTTGCTTATATCTGTTTTGAGCAGTTCTTTAGCTGTCATTTCTTCCTGGAATTTCTTTAAAGGAGAGTTCTTTTGTTTTGTCATTCTGGCTAGCTTTCTGTCTCTTGTTAGTTTTAAAAGCTTGTTATGCATTCTGCACCTGCGAGCACTGCTGTATTAAAGAAGGCTCATTGACTGTCCAGAGCCTGTCCATTCAGGAAGTGTTCTTTTAATGGTGTCTCTTGGTCTCTCTTGTTGAGACTTTGGTTATTTTATTTCCCTACTTGTAGTGGTATTTGGGACTTTCCACCATGTGTACTTTGATTTGTTTTTTGAGGTAGCACTATAAGGTTGTTTTCTCAGTGGACTCTGTCTCCTTTTCCTCCCAAACTCCTGTGGTTCAGTGTCCTGAAGGCTTCAAGCCTTCTCCATTTGAGAGATGGAGGCAAGTGAAATGTATGGAGCTCCCTACTTCTCTGTCATCTTGCCTCTCTATACATCTTTTTTTATCTTGACATTGGTCATTTATTATTGGATGATGTAACTGAAAATTGCAGATATCGTTTTATAGTTGCTGCAGTTTCATAGACTTCAGAGACCATAGGACTGCAATAATGTCATCGGATCTCTCATCTTTTCCTATCTCTTCATGGGCTTTTTTCCCCTGTGTTGTCTTAATTCTTTCCTTTAAGTTTTTTTTTTTTTTTTTTTGAGAGGCAGACAAAAAGACAGAGAATCCCAAGCAGGCCCTGCACTGTCAGCACAGAGCCTGACGCGAGGCTCAGACTCACAAACCGTGAAGTCAAGAGTCTGTCGCTTAACCAACTGAGCCACCCAGGTGCCCCTGTGTTGTCTTCACTCTTAAATGCAAGATGCCTACCAACGGCTCATGTTACTCAGAGACAGCAATTTCTAGGGGGAATAAAATACCTCTTACAATGGCTCCCAACAAGTCCCTTGGAGAATTCTGATTGGTTCATTTTGAGTCATGTGTTCATTCTTAAGGGAAATGCTCTGTATAAGCAGCCTAGGTCAAGAATACACTTCTGAGGGAAGCCTAGTGACAGCCCTTGACTCAGGAGCGGAGTCAGGATAAGGTTGGGAGTGATGGAGATGTCAGTTCTCAAAAGGTAAAGACACTAACAGATAAAAACTAAATAATGTTCTCCATATTATGGTCACTTAGAAAAAGAGCTAAAGGTAATTTGACAATAAACTATTTGTAAAAAAAAAAAAGAAAGAAAGAAAAAGAGCTAAAGGGGATGCAGGAAGGGAGAAAGAGATAACTTTGAAATAGAATTCTGTGAATACCAAAAATTTTTTTTAAATTATTTTAGAGAAAGAGCACGTGACCAGATGAGATGGGCAGAGAGAGACAGAATCTTTGAACAAAATTTTTTAAAATATTTGTTTATTTTTGACAGAAAGAAAGAGACAGAAGGCAAATGGGGGAGGGGCAGAGAGAGAGGGAGACAGATTCCAAAGCAGGCTCCAGGCTCTGAGCTACCAGCACAGAATGTGATATGGGGCTTGCACACATGAACCATGAGACCATAAGTAAGATGCTTAACCCACTGAGCCACCCAGGCGCCCCAGGAAAGAGACAGAATCTTAAACAGGCTCCATGTTCAGCACAAAGCCCAACATGGTGCTTGATTCCACAACAGGGATCATGACCTGAGCCAAAATCAACAGAGACACTCAACAGACTGAGCCACCCAGGAGCCCCCCAAAAAAATTTTAGTCATTTTTTATTATGGGAAAATATACATAATATAAAATATATTTTTAAATTATTCTTAAGTGTACCATTCTGAGGCATGAAGTACACTCACACTATTTGCAGTCACCATCACTTTCCATCACCACCATCCATTTCCAGAACTATTTTCATCTTGCAAAACTGAAACTCTGTAGCCATCATACTCCCCATCTCTCCCCGACCCTGGAAACTACCATTCTACTTCCATCTCTGTTGTAGCATGTATCAGAATTCCCTTCTTTTGTGAGGCTGAGTAATATTCCATCATACATATAAACACCAAACTTTAAAAAAAATTTTAAGTGTTTATTTATTTTTGAGAGAGAGAGAGAGTGCAAGCAGGGGAGGGGCAGAGAGAGAGGGAGACACAGAATCCAAAGCAGACTCCAGGCTCTGAGCCATCAGCAAAGAGCCTGACATGGGGCTTGAACCCACCAACCATGACATCATGACCTGAGCTGAAGCCGGACATTAACCAACTGAGCCACCCAGGCACCCCATGAACACCAAACTTTTAAAGTGAGTAGTGAAATAAAGGTTAGAAGAGGAAATAGTCTGCTGGAGTGGAGTGATAGAAAAAACACTTTCAGAGATCCTTTCACAAGAGCCAAAGGCAAAGGTTTCAAGGGGAAAGGGACCAAAACAGCAAATGCTGCAGAAGTCAAGGTCAATGGTGATTGCACAGGAATCTCAGAATTTGTCAATTAGAAAATCATTAATGACTTTCACAACTGTGGTTTTGGTGGAACTGTGGGTCTGAATCTTGACAGGCTGGGGTTCAAGAGAAGATGGGAGATGAGGTAAAAGACCAGTATAATATAAAACCCTTAGTTCAGCTGTTAAGAAGAGGAGATACAGTGGTAGCTGAGAAGAAAGAATTTGAGGAGTGATTTTTTTTTTTTTTTTTTTTTTTTTTTTTTTTTTGGTATAGGAGAAACCTGATCATATTAGTATCCCCAGAGGAGTAGAGAATAAAGTATACAAAAGAGTAGCAATGTCAGATGGCAAAGTACGGTGTAAGGTGAGGTGGTAGGGATGGAATGAGGGAGATATTGAGCGCTGATTGGGCTGGTTTCCTAAATAAAATGGAAAGTTTTATCAACTAGCTACTTTATAAAGAATTTATGTTTGTATGGTGGCTCCTAAGAGTTACATTTTGTTGCAGATCCACCAGATGTTCCTGACAAGGTAACCTGTGTCATTTATGAATATTCAGGCAACATGACTTGTACCTGGAATTCTGGGAAGCCCACCTACATAGACACAATGTATGTGGTGTATGTGAAGAGGTAGGTTCCTTCAACAGTTTAACATGAGCAGTTCCACTCCAGTCTAGTCAATGTTCTGCCTCCAGCAGGGATCCAAAAAAATCAGCCTTAAACATTATACGTACACCGGTTATCCCCAATGACCTAATTATCATCAGTGAAGCTCTTTGAACCCTTTTTGAGCCATTTATATTTTCACTCTGTGCGACAATGTGTTCTATAATCTTTCTGCCCTTTAATTCATTGGTACATAGCTAGGGTCAGGGACTTGATGGTGATATAGCACAGACTAGCTTCAAAAGGGCCTTTGCTTCAATCTCAGCTCTATACTCTTTCTAGGGTTTAGGCAACTTGCTCAACCTCTCCGAATTGCCTTTCTTTATCTTTAAAATGGGTCTAAAAAATAGAACCTAATGCACAGGTTTATTCTAATTATTTAAGTGGAATTTGGCTTTTAAAGCGTTTAGTACAGTGCCAGGTCCACCATTGGCACTAAATTCATGAAAGCTATTAGTTATTAATAATGACCCCCAAATCTTACATTTGGTTCCTGTACAGGCCGACCATCTTTTCTGGTTTTCCTGAGACTCAGGGAGTCCCCAGGACACAGGACTTTGAGTTTTAAAACTGAAGTAATAACTGAGTTTAAGTGGTAATTTTCTATTTGCAGTCCAGGAGAGCTTTACAGAAAGACTCTTGTTACATTCTTACAATAACCAGACTTCAGGAGCCAAGATGATCATGCCAAAATCTCTTAAGTTTTATGCTTAAAGATAAATAGTTGATCATAAAAGTTGTACTACTTCATAGTAAATTATATTTGAGTGCTTATTCAGAAATTGCAAAATAGGAAACGTTGATGTGAAAAAATCCCTTTCCCTTCCCCAATGTACATAGCTGAAATCTTCCTTTGTTACATTTAAACTATATCCATGTATGTTAGTCTGTTTTTGAATACTCTGATAGTGTTAAGGATGAAAATAAAATTAAATTAATTTTTAAAAAGTTATGGCAAACAAGATTAAGTTAGTCATTCATCATGTTTCCAATTTTGTTTATTTTTTTTCAAAGAATGCCTTCAGTGGCATATTTGAAGTACACTTTTTTTTCCTGTTTGTAAGTCTCAAAAAATTTCCCCAACTACTAATTTTTTAAAAAGCATTTATGGGGGGGTACATGGGTGGCTCAGTCAGTTAAGCATCTGACTTCGGCCCAGATCATGATCTCATGGTTCATGAGTCCCGCATCGGGCTCTGTGCTGACAGCTCAGAGCCTGGAGCCTGGTTCAGATTCTGTCTCTCTCACTCTCTCTCTCTGCCCCTCCCCTACTCGTGCTCTGTCTCTCTGTCTCTCTCTCTCCAGAATAAACATTTAAAAATTAATAAAATAAAATAAAAAGCATTTGTAGGATCCTTACTATTTGCTAAGCACTGGGTCAAAAGCTTTATATGTGCTACTTCATTTAACCTTTTACACAACCTTGTGAGGTAAATATGATTATTTTTCCAGTTTTTGTAGACAAAGCAACTAAGCCTCGGTGGGTTAGGCAATGTGTCCAGGGACACACAGCTCCAGAGAGGGACAGGTGGGATTTGAACTAGGGCTGACCTGACTACCTTCTTCCCAATTTAATTATTTTCTGCTGGAGTGGTGTGGGAGCCAGATCACAGGGCATATTTGAGAGATGATAACCAGTTCTAATCACAATAGAACAGAATAATCTTCCAATCTTCTCTCTCCACATGTAACATACTCAGAAAAATTTTGATTAAATGAAACATGAAAAGTAACACTTCATTCCAAGAAATTCTGTGTAAAAACCAGGCAGATTTTACAAAGACACTGCTAAGCCTGGAGTAATGGCCTATGTGCCAGAGGCAAGAAGCTCACACATTACATTCTGAGTAGGGGTTAGACAGAGGCAAGGGCGGGTATCAAAGGGATGGTGGAAACACTGAGATTAGGGGCGGGTTGTCTGTCCGGTGCCCTCCATACTTCACGTGCACCACGTCTTCAATCCTCAGCTCAGCCTTGTGAAGTAACTATGATTACTGTCTCCATTTTACAGTGCTCATGTTTCCTCTCCAGAGTCACCTGGCTAAGACATAAGGGAGACAGGGTTCTAACACAGGTCTGAGACTTAACCTCTACCCTTTGGCTCTAAGATAAAGTAGTTCTCTAGAGATTAAAAGAGGACAAGAAAACTAGAGCATCACTGTAAAGTCAACTTCAGGAATGAGAAAATGTAAACAGTAAGGGAGCAACCCCCACAGCACACGTTCACAGAAAAGCTAGATAGTGCCAGACTGACAGTGAAAGCATAGTGCCTTCAGGATTTACACTATCTTATGGAACTTTTACTACCTCATGGGCCCGCTGATCTTTGTTGGTTGGTGAATTGTTTTCCTTTTAATATAACAGCTTTCTTGAGTATAATTCACAAACCATACAATTCACCTTATTTAAAGTATAAGCATTCTATGATTTTAGTACATTCACAATTTCAGAACATTTTCTTATGCCAAAAGGAAACTGCATATCCATTAGCGGTAACTCTATTTCCTTCAACTTTCCCATCCCAAGGGATCCTCTGGGGACTTGTCTACTTTGGACACTTCATATAAAAGGAATCATACAATATGTGGTCTTCCATGACTGGCTCTTTCACCTTTAGCATAAGCCTTTCAACATTCATCTGTGGTGTAGCATGTATGAGCACTTCATTTCTTTTTATGACCAAATAATGTTCCATTGTATGAATATATCACATTGACTTAATCCATTCATTAGTTGATGCACATTAGGGTTGTTTCCACTTTTTGGTTATTATGAGCAATGCTTTCATGGTATTCATATACAAGATTTTGTGTAGACATAGGTTTTCATTTCTTTTGGGCATACACTTGGGAATAGAATTGTGACGTCATATGTTAATTCTCTTTAACCTTTTGAAGAACTGCATACTATTTTCTAAAACAACCACACAATTTTGTTTTTGTTTTTTTTTTTAATTTTTTTAAAATTTATTCTTTCTAGGAGAGAGAGTGAGCAGGGGAGGGTCAGAGACAGAGGGAGTCACAGACTGAAACAGGCTCCAGGCTCTGAGCTGGCAGTCAGCACAGAGCCCGACGTGGGGCTCGAACCCACGAACCGCGAGATCATGACCTAAGCGAAAGTCGGACGCTTAACCGACTAAGCCACCCAGGCACCCCACAACCACACAATTTTGCATTCACTCTGGGAGTGTATGAGGGTTCCAATTTCTGTACATTCTTGTCAACACTTATTATTATCGTATTGGTTATTGCCAACCTAGTGGATATGAGTTAACTCATTTAAGTTACACTTACTTGCCCTCTCAGGTTCTTGACAATAAAATTGCATTGTAAATTTGGAAAAGGCATACCACTATTTGAGAAGATATATTTGTTGAACAAAAACTTGCCAACCACCACCTAATTTCCTATTTAGTCTCATAAAAATGTTCTCCAAATATTTTGATTATTTATTATAGATTTCTTTTACAATCTATTAATGCACTCAGTGATATATATTTAAATTATTTACACATGGCTTTTTTGAGAAACACATCTACCTTATAAAGTGAGAAATACCTGTAGTAATTATGAGTATTTGAGATTGTTTTCAATATTCAAGTCACTTTGAAAAAATTAAAAACTGATTTATTAAGATCATGCTTTTAGAGCTATCCATTGGAAAGAACAAGGCTGCCCCTCCCCTGCTTGTTCTCTCGCTTTCTCTCAAAGTAAATAAGTAAACTTTTTAAAAAAATGATCATTGGGGTGCCTTGGTGGCTCAGTCTGTTATGTATCTGACTCGATTCCAGCTCAGGTCATGATCTCATGATTTGTGAGATTGAGACAAGCTCTGTGCTGACAATGTAGAGCCTGCTTGGAATTCTCTCTTTCCCCCTCTTGGCCCCTACACCACTTGCACTTGGCACACACTCATGGGCTCTCTCTCTCTCTCAAAATAAGCAAATAAACTTAAAAAATGATCATTTACAGGGTATAAAAACAATTTTACTTATTTTCAGCTAACAGTAATTTTAGACATATGAATATCTAGAACAAGATGTTAAGCATGCCCTGAAAAACTAATTTTTTTAGCTGTTGTACATATATCAGTAGCTGTTGTACATATATCAGTAGGAAAGTCACTCATTCATTCAAACTAGAAGTGTAATCTCAAAATGGGCAAGACTTTTTGCTATTTTATTCACTGCTAAATCACTTGAGCCTAGAATGGGGCCTGGCACATTGTAATGGCTCAATTGATAGTCACTAAGTGATTATTCTGATAGGTAGCAATAGACATTTCCTGCATTCTCCTTTCATAGTCAAGTTAAATAATAATAATACAAGGTCTTACATATTAGAAAAACTTTTTTCACCTTTTCTGAAATCCAACAGTAAATTACAGCCCAACTCAGACAAACCTAACCCGAATTCTAATTGATTGAGTCCAGATTAATGGAATTTTATCATATTTTGAAAAGAACATAAAAATGTTAATGATTTGCATAAAAATGAATGTTCTCCTCTAGCAAAATCAAAGAATGAGCTCCTATAAGAACAAACTGGAAAAGGAAATAAACATCTATCCATCTCACAATTAATTAAAAACACACTAATGAGTTGAAAAAAAGAGAGAAGAGAAAGTTAATTTTTCTATCAAAAAGGCCTCCCCCTCGCCCCTAGGAAAAAGTTGACTTATAACCAATTTGTGGTTGAAGTAGTTTAAAAAGGTTATACTAAATCCTGGGTTCTTAGGGTATTTTCCACTTTGGCAGGTAGGTAGAGATCAACATTTGCGAAGTTTCACTTCCAACTCATGTGGTTCTGTTTTCCAGTAAAATCACATTTACAGGAGAGGCATTTCACCTCTGCTCACCCACGTTTCCCACTAGTGGCCGAAAGGTGACATTCCTTGTGTGGCAGCCTAGGGGCTATCTGGGCTTCCATTCACATGCCCTCCTCTACCTCTCAGTAGGTACCACT